GCTTTCAGTAGCAAACCAAGCAAACCAATTTCTAAGCACAAATGGAAAACAGGCTCTACAAAGTGAACACAGCCCTCATGAGCACTTGCACACTGGCCCACATCATCCTTGCACTCACTGTGTGCATTTCTTTAGCTAGGTTTTCTTCAACCTCCTTGTCCAAGCCAAGCCATGGACTCTGTGACCAAAGAGAAGATGAGTGCGATCATGAAAAGCAAAGATGGTGTAAACAACAAATTGGAGAAGATCTTGGCATTGCTCACCCTTGCCAACCTGGCCTATGGGCTGATGCTCAAGCCTGACTCCTTACATGTCCACCCTCACAACAGAGGATCTCAGATGGTCAATGCCTTTGACTGCCACAAGAAGGGGCAGGCCATCCTCTCTGCTGGATTGAAGCCAGACCTTTTGGGCCCTTCTTCTATCTGCATAGAAATGTCGAGCCACACAGATACCTGGATGAAGCAACAAGAAGCCAACATCAACATGTGTGCAGCATCAGAAGGACTGTTGCCAGTGCCCACTGGCTCAGAGCGATATCTTACACTTGGCAATTCTCACTTCATCATGTTCCTCAAGGCTCTACAAGGACAATGCTTGTCTCCTACAGGTGAAAGACTTCATGTACCAGCAGAGTTGGAAAGCCTAATTGCCTCAGGCTGGAAGTGGACTGTGATCAGCAACACGGTCGAAGCAGAGTTTCCTCAGTTTCCTTCCTTCTGCCAAGCAGCACTTAATTCAGTGAACTCGAACAACACTGCTACCTGTGAACTGGAAGCAATGCTTCAGTTGGCAAACTATGTCAAAGCAGGCATGACTATGCAAGGCGCAATTGAGGCTGTCCAAGCTGCCCAGCCAACCTGTGGCAAATACATTACAGACATAGCTCAATTTTTGTCATTGTACACAGGAGGGCATGGATTCCCATTGCTCACTCAACTCAGCCAGTTTTGCATCTTGCCAGCAAACATCTGACCTTTGCCATTGAATTTCTTCATGCTTTGGTATTTAGAGAAATCTTTCTTCTTTGCAACTGATGTCCCTGCTCAGTCTGTGAACCTTTAGTTATATGCGCTTTTTGGGTGATAGAATGTTGACAGCTTCTTCTTGCCCAGGCAAAAGGCTGGGGCCTTCATTGATGATCGGTGAAGAAATGATGAGCCAGCTGACCTTTTTTGACTTCAAGGTTGAAGGCAATCCTTTGATGATGTGCAGGGTGGCCTTGCTACATGCAATCTTGTCATCAACTAAATCAGTGGATGGCTATTCCAGGCTTATATTCAAGTCTGACCTTGACAAAATGAAAGGCTCCCTCAACAAGAAGGCAGTGGAGGTGGAACAAATGCTCAGGGATGCTTGGGCCAAGTGCGCATCTCATACCAAGGGTGGATTTGCTTTTGGCAAATTGTGCACAAGAATGGTGCTCTTGCTGCTGGGCAAACAGAAGCACAGCAGAGACCACAAGGAGGTGGAGTCCTATGAAGAGATCATAGAAATGTTTGGGGAAGAGCTGGCTGGGATTGAGGCTAGTGGTGCCACAGCCAAGCCTGAAGGCCCAGAAGCCTCCACCAAAGTCACTGACTTGCTACAAGCAACAGCTGCCGAAGTTGCCCAACTCCAACATAAGCACATCAAGGTTGGTTCCAGGCACCACTTGTTGACAAAACTGTTTAATATGTGTTGGTTGGGCTAACTGAGAATAGCTCATTGCTCACAGGGTCCAGTTTAAGTATATGTTGCCTGCAGGTATTGCAACAAAGAATATGGAGACATTGTATTCATTCTGGAGAGCATTGATGAGAAGCATTGCACATTCAAACATGTACCTCTTTTCGAAGCTCCCATGATGGTGACAGTTGAGTTTGGAGATTTGAAAGTTTGGAAGCCAACCAAGAGGGAATGTCCTATTGGATGCCCTGTCGACGTGGCTTTAGGGAAGATGCTGGGTGGGCACATTCCATGGATCAAAGTCGACTTGGTCAAAAGCTCCTTGCAAAAGATCATCAATGAGGCATACATTGAGAATGTCCAAGCAGTGAAGGATGCTGTGCAGTTTACTTTGCATCCCACTTTGCTGTACACCAAAAAGGGCTTCAAAGAAGGCAAGCTCCAACTGTATCCAGTTGGTGTGGTACATCTTCTCAAGAGTGAAGAGAAACCCAAAGGAGTCAAGCTGTCCTTCCAAGGGTATGAATTCCAGCTCCTGGCATACAAGGCCTTGCATGAGTTTGAACAGGAGAAGCAGGGCAGTTTGGTTGCTTACAATTGGGTGCAGACCACAGACAAGCTGGACCTAATCAACATGGAAGAGAATCTAAGAATGTGAGTGGTGTATCTATCCCTATTTTGGTCAACTCAGTTGCTCTGGACAAGCACACACCTTTGTACAGAGCACAAGAGCGCGACACCAAGGTTGAGGAAGGACCTGCAGTTCCAAAGGCCAAAAGGCCTAAAAGAGCATGAAGAAAGCTGCTCTTATGTTTTTGACAGGAAAAGAATGTCTTGTCAACAGATTAGCTTTCACAGCTCTTCTTGCATTAGGGACAATGCTTTTTGGGTGGTATTAGCCTTAGTGGCTCAACATTTTACATTAGCCTTTGTGGCTCTGTTGTCAAGTCTTGTCAAACAAATATGTTCATAGGACAATAGCCATAAGGCTCATTGTGTAATAAAGTGTGTTTTGTTTGTTTGCTTGTGTTTTCTTCACTTGTTGATTAGCCTCCATGGCTCCAAGTCCAAGCAACCTGTTCAGCAGTGCAAAAACAAAAGCTTGTTGCTTCCACATACATTACTGTTGAAGTATTTGGCTCCAACCATGAAAAGGGAAGTAGTTCCACAGGATGAGCCCTCTCAGGGTGAGGCCCCTTCTCTGGAAAAAATGTGGTGTGACACTCAGCTTGATCGAATGATTGAAGAGGAGTCTTGGCAGTGTATTAAAGCAATATGAATCAAGTGGAATTGTGGTTATTTGTTTGTTGGCCCATTTGTGTGGAGTAAGTCTTATGCTGTGCACATTGGCTTTCCAAATCACATTAGTGACTGATGGTAGAACCATGTGAACTAAGAACAAAAGGCTGCTGAAGGAGTTGGACTATGATGCTCCAGATGAAAGCATTGAGGAACCTGTGCCCAAGAAGCAGAAGGTTGTGGAAACCTCTGAGAACCACAGTAGTGAGAAGACTACAGCCTCAAGTTCTTCTGATCATGCACATGGCCAAAAAGAAGAGTGGAATTGGTATGCAAGCAATGAGTCCACAGATCAAGAACAACATGCTACACAGTGGCCTACTACAGATGGGCAGGGAGGACATGGCCAACAAGTTCGTGATCAATGGAAGTGGAAGACAGGTTTTCAAAACAAGCTGATCCACCTTGTGGCCTTGGTAGAGTGTGGCCATTTGAAGGAAGCCAAGAGAGTGGCTAAAGTGCACAGTTCCAATTCAGCACTGATGCCAGATGTATTGAAGACAAAATCTTGGATCAACAGCCTTGGCCCACAAGATGGCCCAAGAAGGGCAGGCTTTCCTTGGTGAACTATGAGGCTGGAAGCCACTGCGGTTGCTGAAAAGGACTGTGATTAGAGTGTATCAAATTAGCCTGATGGCTCAACCTGTCTGACTTCAGTTGTCATTAACCTT